TCTGGATCTATTTTGTTCATTAGAGTCTACATATAAGATCATTTGATACTCATCTTTCTTTGACTGGCTTATTTCACTTAGCAACATGCTCTCCAGATCCATCTTGGCCTCATTACTAATCCTCCTGCACTTTTAGTTTAAGTTGAAATGCCAGGTGTTTCTCTATTTTTTTAAGTGCCAGGCATTTAATATTATGAGATCAAAGACAGCTCAACTAGTTTAAGGTATTTTTTCCTTTAGGTTGCTAAAATATAGCATTTCTAATGGCATAGGCATGCTCAATCTGCCCTGACAATAGCTATGCAGTTACTCTCCTGTGCCCACAGCAAAACTTAACACAATTTTCACTTTTTTATGATGTGCAGTAAAAGGGTTGGTCTAACTAGTGAAATACTCAGGAGAGATAAGTGATGAGATCCAAAAGGGAAAAAGGTGTCAGAACTAAATATTTTCTTTAGTTCTTTGAGCAGACATTTATGAGATTCTTAGCTAGAGTCTTTCCATCCAAATTTGTAAGAACACCAGACTGCCCATAACAATAATTTTAGATAGACACAACTTCAAGATTTAAAACAGAAACACCCTGAAGAGGGCCTCATTTTTAAAATTTATTTTATTGCTTAAAATCATTATTCTATGTGAATTACCACATTTCACATGTGGCATAAAAACCTAATATTAATGTACTTATAATTCTTCCCTTATGGCCACTATGCTAATCATTACAAGCATTTTACTCTTATATGAATAATAAAGCCTATAATATATAGTTATTAGTCTTGTTTAGAAAGTGAGATTATACATCATAATAACCATGTATAATGACAGATGGTCACTAGAGTTATTGTAGTGCTCACTTTGTAAAGTATATAAATGTTGAATCACTATGTTGTACATGTAAAATAACATAATACTGTGTGTCAATTGTAATTAAAAATAAATTTTAAAATAAATAAATAAATAATTTTGAAAAGAAAGTGAGATTTTATACCCAAGCTTGGTGGAAACACATAACAGCCCTTTATCTCAAGATTTATCTTTGTCCCATTACTGCACCACCCTGTGAATATTCTAAGTTTTTGTGGGAAATGTTCACAGATTCTAAATGTGAAAGAGGGGGAGGAGAACTGCTGGACTTAAGAGCTTGTGCTCTTGCATTCAAGAGTTAAACAGGCAGTATGGCCACAAGGGTGAGTTCAGATTGTGAAATTATTCTCACTATGCATTTATAATTTGTGAACATTTTTGTGAGTATTCCATAGTTCAATAAAAATGGTCCAAATTATATATATATTTTTTCAAATATCAATAATATTTATTTATTTATTTATTTATATTGTTTAAAGTATTGCATATGTCTTCTTTTTCCCCCATTGACCTCTCCCCGCCCACTCCTGTGCCCCAGGACAAGCCCACACCACCATAGTGTCCGTGTCCATTGGTTATGCTCATATACATGCATATAAGTCCTTTGGTTGATCTCTTTGCCTCCCCCCGCACCCACCCTCCCCTTCTTTCCCTCTGAGGTTTGATAGTCTGTTCGGTGTTGCTTTGTCTCTGGACCTATTTTTGTTCATCAGTTTATGTTATTCATTATATTCCACAAATGAGTAAGATCATGTGATGTTTATCTTTCTCCGATGGGATTATTTCACTTAGCATAATGCTCTCCAGGTCCGTCCATGTTGATGCAAATGGAATAGCAGCGTAGTATTCCATTGCGTAGATATACCACTGTGTTTTCATCCACTCATCTGCTGATGGGCATTTAGGCTGTTTCCAAATCTTAGCTATTGTAAATTGTGCTGCTATGAACATAGGGGTGCATATGTCCTTTCTGATTGGTGTTTTTGATTTCTTGGGATATATTCCTAGAAGTGGGGTTACTGGATCAAATGGGAGTTCTATTTTTAACTTTTGAGGAAATTCCATACTGTTTTCCAAAGTGGCTGCACCAGTCTGCATTCCCACCAGCAGTGCATGAGGATTCCTTTTTCTCCGTATCCTTGCAAGCACTTGCCATTTGTTGATTTGTTGATGATAGCCATTCTGACAGGTGTGAGATGGTACCTCATTGTCGTTTTGATTTGCATCTCTCAGATGATTAGTGACTTTGAGCATGTTTTCATATGTCTCTTGGCCTTCTGTATGTCCTCTTTTGAAAAGTGTCTATTTAGGTCCTTTGCCCATTTTTTTATTGGATTGTTTATCTTCCTTTCCAAATAAATTATATTTGAAAAAAATTCAAAGTGATAAAAGAGAGAGACTATTTTATTTTTATTAACTGAGATGTCAGACTTAGCAATTTATGATGATGTATCTTAACAACTTATAAATTAACTCGTTGCATTGGTTTGTTTAATGGCAAACTCATTTTACACACAAAAAAGTTGCATATCAGATCACTGCACAAAATTGGCTATGGGTGTTCAAAATCTGGCTGAATAAAGGACCACATGATGAGACAAGTGGGATATTGGGAATCAAATTTCAAAATAACTTAAATTAATTATTTGAGACAATGACAAAACTTAAATATATAATGCAGTGAACCCAAAGTCAAAGAGACTTAGTAGAAGGAAAGTAAAAAAAAAATTCAATTCAGTATAAAATTTAAGGCCATCAGCATCCTTTATAGTTGTCATGCGTAGGAAAGTAAAAGACATTAGTGGTGAGAAACATGTGTCTTTACTCACTGACTTATAAGTCAGAGTGCGATCTAGATGTGTTGCAAAGAGGAGATGCTTTCATTTTAATTAATGTTTTTTTAGACAATGTAGCAATATAAGTAGATAATCTGTTACAATATCTGTAACTTGTTGAGCTTATATACTAAGTGTTGGACAAAACATCTTCTGATTTAATCTTGCCAATGCTTCTTCAAGACAAGATATACTATTTCCATATTATAGAGCAAGAACATGCATAGATGAATCAGAGGCAGCCCAGTGAAAAAAGCACTGGGCAATTGATCCTAGTATTGAAATAATAAGAAGGAATAGAAGCCAACCAGAGGTCAGGAACTGAGGGTCAAGAACTGACAGAGAGAAAAGAGAATGCGTCCATGGCATGCCACAGTTGGTCTTGGCCTAGTAACTCTCCAGGCCATGTTATTGCATACGCATTCCCCATGGTCTTTCTTGTGGGTCAAGGTGATGGAGGAAAAAACCTGAGGTATAGAAAGAAGAATAACAACAACAAGGTAAACCATGGTATAAACACACTTCTTCCTTCTGCCATCTTATGTTATTTCTAAAAGAAGTTTCCTGCTTAGGGAACACACAGTAAATGGCCTCCAATTTGATAGTATTTTTATTATCACCAGTTACCACAAGTACTGAGTGTGCACTTTAAAATTAGTGTTAAAAATATTATGCTAAATAAAATGATTTTCCTTAAAGCTCTTAAATGCCTTTGTTAACATAAAAATATTCAAACCTGTAAAGAATTCTTGTGAGTTTATTTGAGCCAAACTGTCGACAAATGCCGGAAAGCAGAACCTCAACAAATTGAGATAATGCTCCGGAGAATGGCAGGTTACATCTATATTTATATACTTGAGGCCCAGTGCACGAATTTGTGCATGGGTGGGGTCCAGCAGGCCCGAGCGGTTTTCTGGCCACAGTGGGCATCATAGCGACTGGTCGTTCCAGTCGTTACAGTGTTCCTGTCACTGGCTTTTTATATATGTAGACTAGAGGCCAGGTGCATGAAATTCATGCACTGGGGATGGGTGGAGGGTCCCTTAGCCCAGCCTGTGCCCTCTTGCAGTCTGGGACTCCTTCCTCCTTACTGCCCACCTGCTTGCTGCTCCTTAGTGCTGCCTCGAAGGCCTTGGGTCTGCTGGGTGCCAGGCCTGCAGGTTTGTGTCTCTGATACCCCCAGCAGCCCCAGCACCTTGATGGCAGGGCTTGGGGCTGCTGGGTGCTGGGGCTGCGGATCTGTGTCTTCGATCAGGGCCCCAGCAGCCCCAGCACCAAGGTGGTGGGCCTTGGGGCTACTGGGTGCCAGGCCTGCGGGTTTGTGTCTCTGATCCCCCCAGCAGCCCCAGCACAGTGATGACAGGGCTTGGGGCTGCTGGATGCCGGGCCTGCATGTTTGTGTCTCTAATCTGGCCCCCAGCAGCCCCAGCACCAAGGTAGTGAGCCTTGGGGCTGCTGGGTGCCCGGCCTGCTGGTTTGTGTCTCTGATCAAGCCCCCAGCAGCCCCAGAACCGCCTCAGCAGGGCTTGGAGCTGCTGGGTGCTGGGCTCCCCTGCGTGTTTGTGTCTCTAATCCGGCCCCCAGCAGCCCAGCACCGCCTAAATAACTTAATGGAAACTTTATTTAGTCTTCTTTTAAAAGCAATCTAGTTTAAAAATGAGTTGCAGTTAAGA